GTTTTCAGCCACCATTGCTCAGGTACACCCTTGGGAGGTAGTTGGTCCAGTGATTTGCTCCCAGTCCCTGACCGCACTTATGAAAAACCCCAAACAGCCGAGAGGCGCAGGACCCCATCTAGAGCCCAAAGCCCTTAGCACAAGACTCCACTTTGAGAGGCCCCACTTCAGCTAGAACCCCAGGCAGATCTACGACCCCTGCCATAGGGCAGACAAACCACAGGCTTTGCAGCTCCATCCTTGTGAGGGGCTAAGAGCACCTGCAGAGAGGTTCAGCCCTCTGACCTGGGGAAGGAAGGGATGGGAAGAGACCCCAGACAGGGTCTGGCCATCCGGGATACTCCCCTTGCCCTGGTTTGCCTCAGATCATCTCAAGGCTGCTGAGAGGAATCTCCGCAGGCTAAGTTCTGATCCTTTATGGTAATCTGGGCAGACCTGGATTGGGACCCTGATGGCCACGGCTGAGCTCAGGCTCTCCCTGACAGGTGTGCGGGCCCTGGTGAACATCTTGCAGAGCTGGTACACACTCTTCACCCCCACCGAGGCTACTAGCATTGTGGCTGCCACAGCCGTATCCCACACCACTATCTTGCGCCTCAGTCTTGACTATCCACAGCGGGAGGAGCTGGCTAGCTGTGCTCGCACGCTGGCCCTGCAGTGTGCTATGAAGGATCCACAGAGTTGTGCCCTGTCAGCGCTTACACTCTGTGAGAAAGACCACATCGCCTTTGAAGCAGCCTACCAGATCGCCATCGATGCTGCCACTAGTGGCATGACCCATTCGCAGCTGTTCACCATCGCCCGCTACATGGAGCTCCGTGGCTACCCGCTACGTGCCTTCAGGCTGGCCTCAATGGCCATGAGCCATCTCAACCTGGCCTACAATCAGGACACCCATCCAGCCATCAATGATGTGCTCTGGGCGTGTGCCCTCAGCCACTCTCTAGGCAAGAATGAGCTGGCGGCCCTCATTCCCCTGGTGGTGAGGAGCGTGCACTGTGCCACAGTCCTTTCAGACATCCTGCGGCGCTGCACAGTGACCGCGCCTGGCCTAGCTGGCATCCCAGGCCGCCGCAGTTCTGGAAAACTTATGTCCACTGACAAAGCCCCACTGCGCCAGCTGCTCGATGCCACCATCAATGCCTATATCAATACTACACACTCACGCCTGACCCACATCAGCCCTCGCCACTACGGAGAGTTCATTGAATTTCTGAGTAAGGCTCGGGAGACCTTCCTGCTGCCCCAGGATGGCCACCTGCAGTTCGCCCAATTCATCGACAACCTCAAACAAATCTACAAAGGCAAGAAGAAGCTGATGCTGCTGGTTCGAGAGCGCTTTGGCTGAGAAAGCAGACAGCTCACTGCTGGGGCAGCCTGGGCCCTCGGGTACCATCAGGTCAGGCCAAGGACACTGAAACATTTGTCTACCCTGAGAGGACTCTGAGCACCTGTGGCTGAAGCCAAAGGACCACAGGGCTAAGCATGGGGAGAGTCCACCTCTAGCCAATATGCCTTCCTTGGCGAGGTTCTCACTATAGCCCACTGTTCCTAGAGGAGCTGGGCCCTGCAGATCAAGCCCCACAACATGCCACCTCACGCCCCTATGTACTGCGTGTCCTGGGCACTGGCCCTCCCTACCTTGGCAAATACAGAACACTGTTCCGTCTCAGGGATTGCTTAACCAGAGAAACAGAAGCATTTATGGTACTGTAAATACTATAGTATATGTGTTGCCAATTACATTGTAAAGTTGTAACTATTTATAATTCTGGTTCTAATTTGATGGGTACTTGAAGTAGGTGTGGGTGGCAAGATAGGCTTGTTTTCTGAGGAGACTCAACCATTTCTCAGGTTTCCCTTGCAGACTGTATGCTGTTGGTAGTAGAAGAGTGGGGGTGGCAGGGAGGAAAAATGGCCAATTAGAATAAATCCCAAGTCTAGTCTATGCAGGAACCCCAGCCTGCAGATGGGAATCTATAGCCCAGTGGAGGGTGAGGGGCAGGGCCAGGACTGGACTTAAAAAGACTTTTGCCTCACAAAGCCATCAGACACTGAAGCTCTTGCTCCTGCTTCACATGCCTTTCTAGGAGTCTTCTGAGCTCCTAAGAAACAAGTGCAGGGAGAAGGTGGTCTGGGAGGCCACTAAGCTCACATTCATCTACTCTGGTCACCTTTGTGTTAGAGAGTGTCTGGTTTTATCTCTAATTATGTATGTGTTTATATATCTGTATGGCTAAGTACATGTGTCTCTGTGTGCAGAGATATATTGTACATACCTGTCTATATGGGCACATGTATATTTATATACATCTGTCTTGTCTGTATATGTGTTAACATGTCTGTGTGCTAGACTGGGGGTTTCTGTGTGAGGATATACACCTGTGTGAACATGTAAGAATACATATCTGTGCATTCATGTTCATCAATGCATGTTTAGTGTGTGTGTGTCAGGCACACACAAATGCTTATGTATAAATACTTGTTTGTACCTGTGTATGCCTGCTCTCCACTGGTCTGTCTTTGTATGTGTAACTGTATATTTTGACACACAGGTTATGTCTGAATTCATGTTTAAGGATCTGCATAAATAAGTCCCTTCTGTTTTTGCCAGATCTCGTCTTCGTTCCTTAGTCTCTCTCAACAGCTAAACATGTTCCCCATCTCTGCAGTTTGTTACCAAACAACCTTCTAAGCACTGTCTTCTTCTCCCCCAAGAGTAGTTCTTTCCACTCCACAGTTCTCATCTTGCCTTGTACTTGCTTTCTGCCCTTGCCTCTCTACCTCAAGCTTCTTCTACCTGCTTTTGTCACAGTCCCATTGGTCGCTAATCTGGAGGCTGGGGCTGGAATGCATTGAGCCTTTCCCTTCCTGACTAGTTTCTAGCCCTAATGGGCACCCCCATCTTAGCCCTGGCTGACCTACACAGTGTGTCATGGCCCTGCTGCTTTCCTGACCCTGTGATCTGCCTGGCATTGTTACAGGAGGCAGCAAGGGCGTTCAGAAGAGTCATTTGGATGCCAGTGTCTTGGTGTTCACTGTTCCATGTTTTTGTTCCCGAGTAGAGGGTGGGGTGTGGTAGGGAAGGGGTGGTATAGCTAATAGAGTATGCACTAAGGACCTCTCTATCTGCTTTGTTTTCCCTTCTTTGACAAACTGTTTGTGACTTTTTTTTTCTTCACACTAACCAGTAAGTTGTATTTGCTGTTTGTGGCTACTAAAGTCTTACTGTCCAGCCATGGGCCCCTACCTCTTAGCCCAATAGGTTGGTTTTGAAAAAAAAGCAGCCACTCCCATTTCTATATCATGATTGCCATTTTTAGCAAGTGTGTGAACTTGCAGTGCTTTTCTATGAATAAATCATGGATCACAGAAATGATCATTTTTCTAAAATAAGAAACTGTGTTCTCTCAATAAATGGGGCCCTTCTCTCTCCTGCATTGCCCAGGCTGGGACAGGGAGCTGCATGCACAATAGGCTGTGGGCTCCTAGTTGTTTAAGGAGAGGTGGAATGATGAAGAATTTTCTGCCACACACACCCCTCTCCAGAGTTCACAGGCACCCCAGAGCCTTGTCCCAGGAAGTAAGTACCACTGTGATGGGCAGAAACAACAAGATCCTGAGAAGATTAGAGGGTATACTCAGAAAATAATACAAAGCAATCCTGAGTGTCATAGGGCCTTTTGGCTTCAGAGGACTTTGTGATTCAGTGATACAAGTCTAAGGCTCTAATCCTAAGCAACCTAGCTCTGAGTCTTTATGTCCTCCCCATATTTTGGGGTCAAAGCTGAAGGACGCTTAGTTTTTCCTGCTCACCTAGGCCCCATCTTCCTCCAGAACCCTCTCTGAAGTATTCTAGCTACTTTTGTGCCCCTCTCTGATCTGTACTCCCCTATCTCCCCAAACACAAGGCCCTATCAATTTGGCCTTGTATGCTGTGGGGACCTCATTTCTCTCAAATATCACAGCTCTACTGCTAGGGGGCTCTCCCCAGCCCCATGTAGTTCTGGAGTTTTAGATCTGAGAGCAAGATGGTGGTGACAGCCATGACAGTAAATCCTAAAAACACTGTTAAGAAAATGAAAAGACAAGCCACAAGACTGGGAAAAAATATGTGTAAAATGCTCATATGATAAAGGACTTGTATCCCAAATATACACATAACTCTCAAGACTTATTAAGAAAACAAACAACAAAAGCAAAAGCCCTAAGTAGAAGCCTCACCAAAGATACACAGATGGCAAAGAAGCACGTGAAAAGACGCTCAGCATCCTAAGTCATTAGAGAAACGCAAATTAAAACAAAAGGCACCGCGACACACTTATTAGAATGGCTAAAAGCCAAAATACTGACAACACCAAACACTAACAAGGATGTAGAGTAACAGGAACTCCCATTGCTGATAGGAATGCAAAAGGTGAACTGCTCTGAAAGACAGTGAGGCAGTGTTTTACAAAGTTAAACATGGTCTTATATGATCCAACAACCGTGATCCTAGGTATTTACCCAAATTAGTTGAAAACTTACATTTACACAAAAACTTGCACACAAATGTATAGCAGCTTTATTTGTAATAGCAAAAAACTGGAAGCAACAGATGTCCTTCCAAAGGTGAATGGATAAACTGGTACATTCACACAATGCAGTATTATTTGCCAATGAAAGTAAATGAGCTATCAAGACACAAAAAGACATGGAGGAACCTTAAATGTATATTGCTTAGTGAAGTAAGCCAGTTTAAAAAAGTGTACATAATGTGATTCCAAGAATGTGACATTGGAACTATAGAGACAGTAGAGATTAGTTTCTTCAGAAAGCATGAGGAGAGGGATGCATAGGTGGAGCACAGATTTTTAGAGCAATGAATCTATTCTGTGTGATTCCGTATGGTGGATCCATGACACTATGCATTGTCAGAACCCACAGAACTGTGTAACACAGTGGACCCTAATTTAAACTATGGACTTCAGTTAATAATAATGTATCAGTGTTGGTTTGTCAAATGTACTACACTAATGTAAGGTGTTAATAAGGGAAACTGGTTCCTGTGAAACCTTAATAAAAAAAATTAAAAAGGGAAAATGGAAGCCAGAAGGTACTATATGGGACCTCTGTACCATTTGCTCAATTCTCTGTAAACCTAAAACTGCTTTAAAAAAGGTATTCTCCCATCATCCTGCCACCTAAAGATAACTATTACTAAGACACTGGTATAAATATTCCTGGAAATTTTCTATTCATGTATATGCACACACATACATTATTTACATACTGCAACTTATCTTTTTTATAAGAGTCATAGAATATTAACTATACACAAATTGTTTATAATTCTTAAAATAGCCCCAACTGAAAATTGTTTCCATTTTATAGATGAAGTAACTGAACTGGTAAATGGCTGAACTAGACTGAATTCCCAATGTACTTTACACAGTACCCTATATACTCTTATCACCACACCTCTTTGTAAACATAAGATCTACTTTTTGTTCTCTATTTCATATTTTACTCCTTCATAAGATAAGCCAGTCTTTCATATACTGTACTACCTTTGTACAGTGACCTTCACTTCATGTGGTATACATGCCCTTCCTGTGGTGTTTTCCTTAACTCTGTGCACTAGTACTTTGTGTAGGATCCTTGCCTACTGAATAGGAAGTGGTGGCCCAGCTCCTTTTCACTGCAGGGAGCTAGCTGTAGTGAGGGGCAAACAATGGGAGGTACACATTTTTGACAATAATACGTCTTCCTTTCTTCTGTATAAGTAGCTCTCAAAGTTCAGGTGCTCATGAAAATTATTTCTGGAGTTAAGGAGCCTGAAGGAAAAGACAGTGCAGGGTAAAGGCAAATGAAAAGGTGGAACTCGTGGGTGCCTGGGGAAGGAAGCAACCTTCAGTGGAGACAGTTTGACCACCCAGAAGGGATGTAACATTCAGAAGCATTCAGTGAATTTGATAGCAGCCAGTTCAACAAGTCCCTGTTGTGATCAGACTATTCAGGGAAGCTTTCAAGAAAACCCTGTCCCTGCTCCTCCTCTCTGCACCTACAGGGGACACTCTAAGGCTGCAAACAATCCTGGGAGCAATACAAAAGCACATCCATTCTTCCTCTCTTATCTTCAAACTGGCCCAAGATGCATTCAAGATTGCTACTCCCACTGACAGTAGTACTGACAGCACTCTGCTCAACGTGGCCCTGGAGCTGGGATTACAGGTATGGAGGAGGAGGGGGCCATCCCCACTTTAGGCTCCTGGCCTAGTGACAATTGGTAGAAGATCCCAGGAGGGTGGGGCATGATCAAGTCTGGTTCTTTCTTTGTCCCCAGAACACAACTTCTAAACTAAGCACAAGGTAAGGACTCTCTAAATTGGGCTCTATTTTGAAGTTAAGGCCAGAAGCAGTGTAACTTTAGACTTCATGGGTCCTCATCTTCTCCCCACCCTACCCCATTCCTCTTAAGTTAGGCAAGGTGTGGTAATAGGAGTTTCATTATGGGTCATCAGAGAAGATGTCTGATTAGTGGGAATGGTGGGACAAATTCAGCAAAACTGCCTGTACTTATTAGGGGAGAGATGACTGCTTAAATAAATAATTGTTGCGTAAAGGAATGGCATGGGGAAGTGAAAAGAGGTCATAGCAGTTAATGCTTAGCCCATGGGAATGCCTCCTTTTTCCCAGGTGATGAGGATGACCTTATCAACCCTTAACTGGAGGCGCCGGGAAATGGTGCGGTGGCTGGTGACATGTGCTACAGAAGTGGGTAAGTCTCCCACCTCCCTCTACCCCCAACAGAAGGAAGTTCCTAGTCCCTACTCTTGGTACAGGACAATGAATCCTTGGAGTTCTCACGTGCTATTACTGATGGCCTAGGAAAGGATGGGGCTGCTGGTAGGACAAGATGGCCTCTGTTCAGCCAGCCCAAGCTCTGCCCTCACTGCTCAGACCATACCCTGATGTCAACAGCGCTTTGGCCCTCTTCTCAGAAACATGTCTGAGAGATTGAGTTTTCAGCCACCATTGCTCAGGTACACCCTTGGGAGGTAGTTGGTCCAGTGATTTGCTCCCAGTCCCTGACCGCACTTATGAAAAACCCCAAACAGCCGAGAGGCGCAGGACCCCATCTAGAGCCCAAAGCCCTTAGCACAAGACTCCACTTTGAGAGGCCCCACTTCAGCTAGAACCCCAGGCAGATCTACGACCCCTGCCATAGGGCAGACAAACCACAGGCTTTGCAGCTCCATCCTTGTGAGGGGCTAAGAGCACCTGCAGAGAGGTTCAGCCCTCTGACCTGGGGAAGGAAGGGATGGGAAGAGACCCCAGACAGGGTCTGGCCATCCGGGATACTCCCCTTGCCCTGGTTTGCCTCAGATCATCTCAAGGCTGCTGAGAGGAATCTCCGCAGGCTAAGTTCTGATCCTTTATGGTAATCTGGGCAGACCTGGATTGGGACCCTGATGGCCACGGCTGAGCTCAGGCTCTCCCTGACAGGTGTGCGGGCCCTGGTGAACATCTTGCAGAGCTGGTACACACTCTTCACCCCCACCGAGGCTACTAGCATTGTGGCTGCCACAGCCGTATCCCACACCACTATCTTGCGCCTCAGTCTTGACTATCCACAGCGGGAGGAGCTGGCTAGCTGTGCTCGCACGCTGGCCCTGCAGTGTGCTATGAAGGATCCACAGAGTTGTGCCCTGTCAGCGCTTACACTCTGTGAGAAAGACCACATCGCCTTTGAAGCAGCCTACCAGATCGCCATCGATGCTGCCACTAGTGGCATGACCCATTCGCAGCTGTTCACCATCGCCCGCTACATGGAGCTCCGTGGCTACCCGCTACGTGCCTTCAGGCTGGCCTCAATGGCCATGAGCCATCTCAACCTGGCCTACAATCAGGACACCCATCCAGCCATCAATGATGTGCTCTGGGCGTGTGCCCTCAGCCACTCTCTAGGCAAGAATGAGCTGGCGGCCCTCATTCCCCTGGTGGTGAGGAGCGTGCACTGTGCCACAGTCCTTTCAGACATCCTGCGGCGCTGCACAGTGACCGCGCCTGGCCTAGCTGGCATCCCAGGCCGCCGCAGTTCTGGAAAACTTATGTCCACTGACAAAGCCCCACTGCGCCAGCTGCTCGATGCCACCATCAATGCCTATATCAATACTACACACTCACGCCTGACCCACATCAGCCCTCGCCACTACGGAGAGTTCATTGAATTTCTGAGTAAGGCTCGGGAGACCTTCCTGCTGCCCCAGGATGGCCACCTGCAGTTCGCCCAATTCATCGACAACCTCAAACAAATCTACAAAGGCAAGAAGAAGCTGATGCTGCTGGTTCGAGAGCGCTTTGGCTGAGAAAGCAGACAGCTCACTGCTGGGGCAGCCTGGGCCCTCGGGTACCATCAGGTCAGGCCAAGGACACTGAAACATTTGTCTACCCTGAGAGGACTCTGAGCACCTGTGGCTGAAGCCAAAGGACCACAGGGCTAAGCATGGGGAGAGTCCACCTCTAGCCAATATGCCTTCCTTGGCGAGGTTCTCACTATAGCCCACTGTTCCTAGAGGAGCTGGGCCCTGCAGATCAAGCCCCACAACATGCCACCTCACGCCCCTATGTACTGCGTGTCCTGGGCACTGGCCCTCCCTACCTTGGCAAATACAGAACACTGTTCCGTCTCAGGGATTGCTTAACCAGAGAAACAGAAGCATTTATGGTACTGTAAATACTATAGTATATGTGTTGCCAATTACATTGTAAAGTTGTAACTATTTATAATTCTGGTTCTAATTTGATGGGTACTTGAAGTAGGTGTGGGTGGCAAGATAGGCTTGTTTTCTGAGGAGACTCAACCATTTCTCAGGTTTCCCTTGCAGACTGTATGCTGTTGGTAGTAGAAGAGTGGGGGTGGCAGGGAGGAAAAATGGCCAATTAGAATAAATCCCAAGTCTAGTCTATGCAGGAACCCCAGCCTGCAGATGGGAATCTATAGCCCAGTGGAGGGTGAGGGGCAGGGCCAGGACTGGACTTAAAAAGACTTTTGCCTCACAAAGCCATCAGACACTGAAGCTCTTGCTCCTGCTTCACATGCCTTTCTAGGAGTCTTCTGAGCTCCTAAGAAACAAGTGCAGGGAGAAGGTGGTCTGGGAGGCCACTAAGCTCACATTCATCTACTCTGGTCACCTTTGTGTTAGAGAGTGTCTGGTTTTATCTCTAATTATGTATGTGTTTATATATCTGTATGGCTAAGTACATGTGTCTCTGTGTGCAGAGATATATTGTACATACCTGTCTATATGGGCACATGTATATTTATATACATCTGTCTTGTCTGTATATGTGTTAACATGTCTGTGTGCTAGACTGGGGGTTTCTGTGTGAGGATATACACCTGTGTGAACATGTAAGAATACATATCTGTGCATTCATGTTCATCAATGCATGTTTAGTGTGTGTGTGTCAGGCACACACAAATGCTTATGTATAAATACTTGTTTGTACCTGTGTATGCCTGCTCTCCACTGGTCTGTCTTTGTATGTGTAACTGTATATTTTGACACACAGGTTATGTCTGAATTCATGTTTAAGGATCTGCATAAATAAGTCCCTTCTGTTTTTGCCAGATCTCGTCTTCGTTCCTTAGTCTCTCTCAACAGCTAAACATGTTCCCCATCTCTGCAGTTTGTTACCAAACAACCTTCTAAGCACTGTCTTCTTCTCCCCCAAGAGTAGTTCTTTCCACTCCACAGTTCTCATCTTGCCTTGTACTTGCTTTCTGCCCTTGCCTCTCTACCTCAAGCTTCTTCTACCTGCTTTTGTCACAGTCCCATTGGTCGCTAATCTGGAGGCTGGGGCTGGAATGCATTGAGCCTTTCCCTTCCTGACTAGTTTCTAGCCCTAATGGGCACCCCCATCTTAGCCCTGGCTGACCTACACAGTGTGTCATGGCCCTGCTGCTTTCCTGACCCTGTGATCTGCCTGGCATTGTTACAGGAGGCAGCAAGGGCGTTCAGAAGAGTCATTTGGATGCCAGTGTCTTGGTGTTCACTGTTCCATGTTTTTGTTCCCGAGTAGAGGGTGGGGTGTGGTAGGGAAGGGGTGGTATAGCTAATAGAGTATGCACTAAGGACCTCTCTATCTGCTTTGTTTTCCCTTCTTTGACAAACTGTTTGTGACTTTTTTTTTCTTCACACTAACCAGTAAGTTGTATTTGCTGTTTGTGGCTACTAAAGTCTTACTGTCCAGCCATGGGCCCCTACCTCTTAGCCCAATAGGTTGGTTTTGAAAAAAAAGCAGCCACTCCCATTTCTATATCATGATTGCCATTTTTAGCAAGTGTGTGAACTTGCAGTGCTTTTCTATGAATAAATCATGGATCACAGAAATGATCATTTTTCTAAAATAAGAAACTGTGTTCTCTCAATAAATGGGGCCCTTCTCTCTCCTGCATTGCCCAGGCTGGGACAGGGAGCTGCATGCACAATAGGCTGTGGGCTCCTAGTTGTTTAAGGAGAGGTGGAATGATGAAGAATTTTCTGCCACACACACCCCTCTCCAGAGTTCACAGGCACCCCAGAGCCTTGTCCCAGGAAGTAAGTACCACTGTGATGGGCAGAAACAACAAGATCCTGAGAAGATTAGAGGGTATACTCAGAAAATAATACAAAGCAATCCTGAGTGTCATAGGGCCTTTTGGCTTCAGAGGACTTTGTGATTCAGTGATACAAGTCTAAGGCTCTAATCCTAAGCAACCTAGCTCTGAGTCTTTATGTCCTCCCCATATTTTGGGGTCAAAGCTGAAGGACGCTTAGTTTTTCCTGCTCACCTAGGCCCCATCTTCCTCCAGAACCCTCTCTGAAGTATTCTAGCTACTTTTGTGCCCCTCTCTGATCTGTACTCCCCTATCTCCCCAGACACAAGGCCCTATCAATTTGGCCTTGTATGCTGTGGGGACCTCATTTCTCTCAAATATCACAGCTCTACTGCTAGGGGGCTCTCCCCAGCCCCATGTAGTTCTGGAGTTTTAGATCTGAGAGCAAGATGGTGGTGACAGCCATGACAGTAAATCCTATCATACATATTCACTGATATCTGGGCTCCTATGACTTGTGGGAGAATATGCAGAAATGCCCAGGGAAGGAGCAGAGACTAAGAAGGAACTGAGGATTAGGGCACAGATCTTTCACAAATAAGACCACATGCTAGACTTCTCCACTGATGGAACTTTTATTCTCCTGGAAACAATCAATCATCAGTGTTAGTGGTACTTGAGGGAAAAGGTTATGCTCAGTTCTGGCGAAGCAGACGTGAGTGTCTGTGCACGGCATCCACAAAGGCCCCTACGTGTTCTGGGTCCATGTCAGGGTAAAGTCCATGGCCCAGGTTGGCAATGTAGCGCTGTGGCCCAAAATCATCCAGCATCTGCCGCACCAGCCGTCCGATCTCCTCCTGGGGGACCAACAGGGCACTGGCTATAGGAGGGGCCAGCAAGCCTCCATCCTCCCTTTACACAGTAATGACACATATACACATAAGCATGCTTCTACATAGTGTTATTCATTCAATTATTACTTTAAAAACGTTTACTGTATGCCTAGTATGGGCTTAGTGCTAAGAAAAAACAGACAACAGAAAGACTTTCTGCCTTCCTAGAGCTCACATGGTGTGTATGTTGGAGAGGGGAGGGACAAACAGACATAATAAAAACACACAGTAATATCCACTGCTGTGGAAGTGCACAAACTCATAGACACACATAGGGACCCTGGTTGTTACCTCAGATGCATACAAGGCACAAGGGTCCAGGTTGCCCTGCAAGGCCACAGTCTTCCCCACACGCTCCCTGGAAGCAGAGTCAGTGCCAAGTTCTGGTGACTGCACATACGGCAGCTGCACCCCCTCCGCCTCATCCTCCATCACTCACCGAGCTTTCCCTGGGGCCACTGTCCAGTCAAGCCCAACCACCTCATAGCCAGCTTGGGCTAACTCCTCCAGAGCAAAATGTCCATCCTTAGCAAAGATGATCTACGGGAAAAGGCAGATCTGAGGCCACAGAGGGCCTTGCCTGCCCACTAACCTATCTCAGCTGCACCTCTGCTGCCCTCCTGTGGTCACCTCCTTCAAAGCAGTACTTACTCTGAAAGTTCCACAGGCCCGCCTTCACTCACCAGAGCCATCCCCATCCTTACCATGGGCACTGGTGCCAGGCCTGACTCCTGCAGCCCAGCCTTTACTCGCTTGGCCACATCACGGATGTAGGGCAGTGCAAACTTACTGAAGAGCTGTGGGCCAAGATGCCCGGCATGGGACTCAAAGAGTTGCAATGCCTGCAGTTAGGGGGTGGTGAAGAGAAAGATGTAACAGAAGAAGTAGCTCAGGGCCCGCACACAAAAAGTGCTTCCATTTTCCCCAAGTGACGTCAACCCCTGATAGCTCCTAAGCCTATAAGCCCAGTTGTGGTCAAAAAGTTTTGTGTTCTCCAGATTCCCAGTGCCAGCTTTGGTTTCTGAGCACACGGAGCACTAAGTCTGCCAGTGTCAAGGTGGGCTTAGCTGCTCTGGCCAGATCATTGCACCCCAAACTTCTTTTGTTCTTGGCATTGAGACACCTACTATCTCAGGTGTAGGGAACTTTGTTGCTTCTGGTCTTTATAGACTAAACTCCAGCCTATTTATCTCTCCCTCAGGACTCACCTGGGCACCAGCAGCCACTTGTCCCACCAAATATGGGACCAGAGCATCAGTGAGGGTGCGAAGCAGCTGGTGACTGGCCTGTGGTCTCTGGTAAAGCCAGCGCTTGGCCTGAGCCATGGTGCTTGAGCTGCCACCCTCAACCATGTATGTCATCAGTGTCCACTACAAAAGGATACAAAGAGGATGTCACAGGTGTTGAAGCCAGACTGACACCTCCTTCCCTTGTCTCCACCAGACCTGTCAGGATGTTTTCCCCATGCCCAAGTCCCTACTCTGGTCCATATTACCGGAGCACCAGCAAAGCCAATCAGAGGCACACGCCCAGCCAGCTGTTGCCGGGTAAGGGTGATGGCCTGGAACACATAGCCCAGCTCAGAGGCCACAGTTGCTGGATCCCTGAGGCGCTCTAAGTCCTGCTCTTCTCTTAATGGCTCTGGGAAGCTGGGCCCTTTGCCAGGCACCATGGTCACCTCCATGCCCAGTGCCTGAATGGGGAGAAAACATCTGGGTACCCAACCTGTAAACTCCAGGAGGAAAGACTTTTCAGCCCATGCCAGGAAAGAGGAAAAGAAGAACAAAACTTAGCCAGACTCCATCTCCTTCATCCCAAGTTCTTCCCTCTGTCCAGTGAAAATAAGTGTTTATCCTGAGCCTTGACTATCTTCCCTTTTTCACCCATTCCAAAATCAAGTTTAAGCATGTACCTGGGGTACAACAAGGATGTCGGAAAAGATGATGGCAGCATCCAGAGGGAAGCGACGCAGTGGCTGTAGGAAACATAAGTTGCTAGGTGCCAAGCTGAGGGCATAAGTTCCTCCCTCCTTAGTGGGCCCCTCACCTGTAGAGTCAGTTCACAGCAGGCCTCTGGGGAGCGACAGGTGCTGAAAAAGTCCTGGGCTGCCCGAGTTTCCCTAAACTCTGCAGACAGAAGAGGAAAGGCACAGGGCTCAGCCTTGAGAAACCTCTGAAGCCTCCTCTTCCCCTCCAGAACTTTTCACCCTCCAGAATTCTGCCTAGATTCCCAGGCTCTGGCCCTGACTACGACCTGGTAAGTAGCGGCCTGCCTGCCGCATGCACCAAACGGGAGTGTAGTCAGTGTCTTCTCCCCAGGCTGCTCTCAGAAACGTGTCATTCTTCAGCTCTGGAAAACCCTGGGGTCTGGAGATCAGGAGGTGTTAGAGGTAGATACCAGTAAGCTAGGCTGGGAGTTTGGGAAGGCTTGGGTTCTTAAGGGAGGATTCAGTCCAGCACCGCTATCTGCTTTCTCCAGGCCAGCTCCCAAGCCATATGGCTCGCCGCCCATTTCGCCTCCTCTCTGCCTATCAGGTGGTGCACAACACTAGAAGGGCCCGCGGTGGGGCCTCTACCCTACACGCAGTCCCAGCTTCTACAAGCTCAAGCCACTGGAGAGACTGGAGAAGTAGGGGCACGAAAGCCCAGTAAGGATAGTTTGGGGATTTGGGGACCAAAAAATATCAGGAACCGGTGTACCAGTGGGCTGGTTCCCGGAGTGATAGATCCCAGGCTGGGGGATAGTCGAGGCATCAGAGTTAACGGTCCCGAAATAGGGATCCTAATTTGAGGATTAGAAAAATCCAGGGGCATCCCCTAAATAAAGGTCTGATGGACGTAGTCCAGCTGGGCAGTCCCTGCGATGAAGGTCTCAGGAATCCACGAATGGGCTATTCGGGAGTTCAGTCACTGGGGTTCGGGTTGGGAGCTCTCTAGGATAGGGGAAGGGCGGGCACAGGGACAGGTTCCTGAGCTGGAGGATTCGGGTCAAAAGCCTCGCTGGACCATCGCGTAGTGCAAAGAACTCACCCTAACTGGCACGCCTCCATGATAAGCGGTCTGTAACTGCGAGCATAGTCCCCACGTTAACCTGAATCTGAGCCTGCCCCTGCCCATGCTCCGCCCCTTCCTGGAATGAGCTAGGGCAGTAGCCATGTTGGAAGTCACATGATCAGACTCCAGCAACAACTACCCGGCTGCCCTGGCAGCTGCCGGTAGGACCCCTTACCTCTCTTACCGTAAAGTCCGCTATAGCGACGCAGAAACAAACGTCCGCCGCCGAAAGAATTTCTCTTTTACTACAATTTACCAGGCCTTGAGGAATTGGCATGTATCTGGTGGCCTGGGAGTCCCGAAGGTTCGTTCGAAGACCCACTTTCATTCCTACTGACCATAATTCAAACAGTCTTATTCCGGGCCCACCCAGGCGCACAGTGGATTATGAAACCAAACCGGTATCATTGGCTATATTACCTCCTAAGAGCTGGGCACTATGGTATTTGTGGAGGTTACAGGGGTCAACAAGATAGCCCCTTCCTTTAAGGAGCTCCAGACAAAGAGAAATCAGCAATCACAACAGTAAATGTTTTAAGAGAAAACTAGAAGCAACTAGCAAGGGCTCCTGGCTTAATTGGAGAAAGTGGTGGGGGTGTTCTAAGCAGGAGCAACAGCATGTGCAAAGATGAAAAAAAAAAAAAAAGGCTATTATGGGAACCAGGAGATCACTCTGATGGAATTAAAGAGGTTGGAAAAGTCTACAGAGTACAGGTCATGAAGGCCCTGGTGAGGTGCCTTTGTTCACTATTCTGTGCTAGTGTAACAGCATACAAATAGCTTGGAGAAAGGGGAAGAGAGTCACTGTGTTCTCAGGTTCCTAGGGAGAAAAAAGTGGAAAACAAAATTGCATAATATTAAAAAATTACATCACTTTTTATTTCTGTCTTGATAACTTCTATTTGAAAACTGTCAAAACAAAGTTTCTACCCAAATGTCCATCAATTAACAGATCACTGTATAAACAACATGTAAATAAACATGTAATGGAATATTATTGAGCCATAAAAAGAAATGAAGTTCTGATAGATGCTACATTATGCTGAGTGAAATAAGACACAAAAAGATGAACATTGTTATGGTTCCACTTACATGAAATATCTGAATAGGAAAATTCATGGACACAGAAAGTAGGTTAGAGTTTACCAGAGGCTGGAGAGAGGCAATGAAGAGTTACTGCTTGAAAGGTACAGAGTTTCTGTTTGGGATGATGAAAAGTTTTGGGCATAGATAATCATACACTTAAAAAATGCGTAAGACAGCAAATTTTGTTATATATATTTTGCTATTTTACTACAATTTTTAAAAATTAATGTAACGTGTCAAAACCCATTGAATTATACACTTCAAATGGGTGAATTGTATGGTATATGAATATGTCAAAACTGTTTTTAAAAACAAGGGGGTATGAACAGTTTCCTTTTCCTCCATGAGTGTATGTACTTCACCAACAGCTCCTGTCCATCTTTGCTTCCTCCTTTCCCACGTCCGCCTTCCCTCTCATCTGGTTCAGAATTCCTGGGAGAAGCTGGGTAATGATCATCAGTGTCCTGGGATTAGGACTACCCACCATTCAAGATTGAATGACTCAAGACTTCTGTCAGTAGCAGGTCTGGGTAGATTATTCTCTCAAACATTTTAGTCACCTGTCCCTAGGATGGGGAGCCCGAGAAGATGTCTAGTAGATTTTTAAAGACTCTTCGAGTTGTAGTATGACTCTTTGTGGGTGGAGAGGCTAAACTAGAGGCCCGAGGACCAGAAAAATGGCTGTTGCAATGATTCAGGCTAGATGGGACGGTAGCTTGAATGAAGGTAGCAGTAGTAGGAATAAAATGGTAGTACAAAAGGGGTGGAGAAGGGAAGATTGATAAGGTAGAAACTACTAAACTTGGGCCTGGTTGGCTGAGTGGAAGGCACAGAAGTAGGTAATGGTTTGAGTATCCGAGTACATGGGGCAATACGGCAGGAGCGTAGTGTGCGCTTGGTCTAGAATTTACGGCGGGGGCGGGCCGAAGGCGGCAGAGCTTGGTGGGAAGCTCAAGCAGCCTTTGCGGCCGCTGCTGCTGAAAACGGCCCTTCTCTGGGTTTCCCTCTGCCGCTTCGCCATGGCGGGCCCGGGCCCGGGCCCGGGGGCAGCACTAGAGTCCCCGCGGCAGCTGCTGGGCCGTGTGCGCTTCCTGGCGGAGGCAGCGCAGAACCTCCGCGCCGGACAGCCACTGCCAGCGGCGCTGGCTTTCGTGCCGCGCGAGGTGCTCTACAAGCTTTACAAAGACCCGGCGGGGCCGTCGCGAGTGCTGCTGCCGGTGTGGGAGGCAGAGGGCCTGGGGCTGCGTGTGGGAGCCGTGGGTCCGGCCCCCGGTACTGCCCCCGGGCCCCTCCGCGCTGCCCGCGACAGCATCGAGCTCCGGCGCGGCGCCTGCGTGCGCACCACAGGCGAGGAGCTGTGCAATGGCCACGGGCTCTGGGTGAAGCTGACCAAGGTGCGCCCGCCAGCAAAACACCCCAGGCCAGGGAAGCCCCGGCTGTTCCCCTCCGCTCCCCCATACTGAGCTGGCGTTGCGCTCGTTGGCCTTTGCCTTGGGCGGGCCGGGCCGCTGGGCAGTTCCCTGACGACTGTCCTCATCTGGCGCGCCTCGGCAGGAGCAGCTGTCGGAACACCTGGGCGACTGCGGGCTGCTTGAAGGATGGTTGCTAGTGTGCCGCCCCGCGGAAGGCGGAGCCCGCCTCGTGCCCATCGACACCCCCGACCACCTCCTGCGGCAGCAGCAGCTCTTCGGCGTGGACTTCCGCCCGGTGCTCAGGTCCGGCGCCCGAGGGGCGGGGCCTGCTGGCCGACTTCGCTTCCCCGAGGGGTGGAAACGGCTCGGGCGCAGCCCGGGAGGTGGGGGCGGGCGGACCTGGGAGCTGGGCTGGGGCTTCTGGGTGCCTAGTTCAGAGGAGAGAGCGCTCTAGGGAAGGCGCCGGTCCCTGGAGGGATGTTCTGCAGCCCGCTGGTGTTTCTCCACGCCACCCCCCACTCTTTGCCCACAGATGGGAACAGGTGGTGGACCTGACATACTCGTATCGCCTTGGATCGAGGCCTCAGCCGGCCGAGGCATACACGGAAGCTGTACAGAGGCTACTGTGAGTGATGTGGGATGGGATGGGATGGAAGGATCACCAGGTCTGGGCCCGACCTAATTAGGGACTTGGGGTTGCTTAGCTATGTGCCCCCGACGTGGACCTACGAGTGCGACGAGGACCTGATCCACTTCTTGTATGACCACCTGGGCAAGGAGGATGAGAACCTGGGTAGCGTGAAGCAGTATGTGGAGAGCATAGACGTTTCCTCCTACACGGTGGGTGCTGGGACTCCTCCCAACCCAAGCAAGATGTAGTCACATGTTGCTAGATCCAAAACCCCCATCTCTAGGTCAAGGCCAAAACGTTAATCTCCACAGGCTAAACATGGTGCAGCCCTCGGTCTTGGCAGCCCTATAGGAACCCCTAGACACCTCTGTCCATACCAGCTGCACTTTTAAACCAACCCCACTGTGCTTTCTCTTCTGTGCTGCCTGGCCCAAAGCACAACCCCAGTGCAGGGAGTTGGGGGAAGCTAACTCCACCATTCTGCCCCTCCCCAGGAGGAGTTCAATGTGTCCTGCCTGACAGACAGCAATGCAGACACCTACTGGGAAAGTGATGGGTCCCAGTGCCAGCACTGGGTACGGCTTACCATGAAAAAGGGCACCATTGTCAAGTGAGTGGGCTCCGTGTAGGTCAGAGTGAGTGAGTCATGTGCCTGTGACCGTACAGAGACCCACGTGCATAATCTGACCCCCAGGAAGCTGCTGCTCACAGTGGATACTACAGATGACAACTTTATGCCTAAGCGGGTGGTGGTCTATGGGGGCGAAGGGGACAACCTGAAGAAGCTGAGTGACGTGAGCATTGACGAGTGAGTGAGCAAGCTGGCTGGGTTGGGAGGTGAGGTATAATCCTAGCAATGGGGCCTGGCCTAGCTTGGAAGCAGAAGGTTGGCCACAGGTACCCCAAGTGCTTCACATCTGTCTCCTCAGGACCCTGATCGGGGATGTCTGTGTCCTGGAGGACATGACTGTCCACCTCCCAATCATCGAGATCCGCATCGTCGAGTGCCGAGGTGGGGCTTAAGACTGTAAGGAGGGAAAGAGAGCCCTAGTATGTAGATGAGGGCTAGCTGGCAGGGAGCATGGAGAGAAGGAGATGGGCTTGCAGTTGGGATGAAGGTGATACTGAACTACAGGATTTGAAGCTTTGGGGCCTGAGCCAGGTAGTAAGTGCCAGATATAGGTCTGCCTGAAAGTCATAGAGGTGGTCACCTGGAAGATGAACTGAGCTGGGACCCTCAGGCACCCAACCTTACAGTGGTGGTGAGTAGCCAACAAAGAATATAATAATCAGAATCAGGCAGTAGAAAGGAATCCCAAAGGGCTAAGAGTGACAAAGGGCTAAGCATTAAGGAGCCATTCTCTGGTCTGAGGGCCAAGAAGGCAGCAGGACAGTGACTTCACTCTGACTTCTTCCCCCAGATGATGGGATTGATGTGCGTCTTCGAGGGGTCAAGATCAAGTCTTCCAGACAGCGGGAACTAGGGTTGAATGCAGACCTATTCCAGCCAACCAGTCTAGTGCGATATCCACGCCTGGAAGGCACAGACCCGGAAGTTCTGTACCGCAGAGCTGTTCTCCTACAGAGGTGGCTGTGGTCCTGGGCCTGCCAGACCCTTCCTACCCCCATCTTGGGCATTGTATGTCTATGTGCAGGCAGTCTTATATTGTAAGATTTCAAGGGTCAGAACAGCCCCTCTGCCCTGCCTTCTCTAGTCCCTGTGTGTTGAGGAGTGAGTGGATTTTACATCCATGCCAAACTCTTTAGCTGCAGTTATCTTTACTTGCCTACCCCAGATTCATAAAGATCCTAGACAGTGTCCTGCACCACCTGGTACCTGCCTGGGACCACACACTGGGCACCTTCAGTGAAATTAAGGTGAGCCTCACCCACTCGGTGCTGGTTTGGGCTGTAGGCTCCCCATTCCTGCTCGTGCATTTGTTCTTCAGCAGAGAGTTCCTAAAACCTTTGCTGGGCTCTGGGAACATAAGAAAGCCCGACACAAATATTCAAAATTTAGTGTTTGGGGTGCTCTTCCCCAGATAGTATGTGAAACACACAAGAGCTGGGGGAGTAGAGGGGATAGCATTAACAGGGCAAGTTGCATGAAAGGTACATACTAGAAGTTACTAGCTGCTAAAGATGACTTGAGAGAAGTGTGCAGGTAGATGTGAGTATGACATGGGGATGTGGCCTCGGAGCAGGTGGGCAGGAGGCTCCCCCTGGTGGGTGGACTAAGGGTGAGACTGGAAGTAAGGACTTGGGACGGACTAGGAGTGGACTAAAACTGTAGAATTGGGTCCAGGCATAGAGGAAGATTCCAGAGCCTGCACAGAGGCTGACTGCCTGCTGCTCTGCTCTGGCCACTTTTCCCTACCAGCAAGTAAAGCAGTTCCTGTTGCTGTCACGCCAGCGGCCGGGCTTGGTGGCCCAGTGCCTGCGTGACTCTGAGAGCAGCAAGCCCAGCTTCATGCCACGCCTGTACATCAACCGGCGCCTTGCCATGGAACACCGTGCCTGCCCCCTAAGGGACCCTGCCTGCAAGAATGCAGTTTTCACTCAGGTCTGGACCATTTGGAGTCAGACTCAGGGAGGGTCAGTCAAGGGCCTAGGGGGCTGGGCCAGGAGGGAGTGGACAGAGGCCTTTGGGCAAGAATGAAGCCAGTTCTTGACAGACTTTCCTACCACTCCTCTCCTTTCCCCTGCCCACAGGTTTATGAAGGCCTCAAGCCCTCTGACAAATATGAAAAGCCCCTGGACTATAGGTATGGCATGAGACTGAGGGATTTTCCCAGGGCACGTGTATACATATATACCCACATTCTGTCTCTGGCATCCCTGACCACTCTGTAGTCCCTACTACTGGCTGGTCCCTGGGCTGGTGAAATGTCCTGAGCATTGATCCAGCATGGTGACAGAGATCCACCCATACTTACAGGTGGCCTATGCGCTATGATCAGTGGTGGGAGTGTAAATTCATTGCAGAAGGCATTATTGACCAAGGTGAGACCCTGAGAAAGGGTAACAGGGGTCCTGCTCTATTTGGAGTAGTAGAGATTTCTGGGGTCACCAGCTAACCGAGATAGGGGACCTGCTTATTGCCCCATTATGGGGGCTGGGGCTCTTTGTCATTTCAGGGGGTGGTTTCCGGGATAGCCTGGCGGACATGTCAGAAGAGCTATGCCCTAGCTCAGCAGACACCCCTGTGCCTCTGCCCTTCTTTGTGCGGACAGCCAACCAGGTAATCTCCCATGATGTTTCTGCTGTTTGTCTCTGCAGACCTCCCAGGTACCAGGCTGAGCTAGAGAGGGGAGAGAGGAGGAACCAAGTTGCCCAGGGCAGCCTCTGGACAGATTGAGGAGGAGGAGCCATTGTGTATTTCAAAGGAATTATTCAGAGCCTCCACTAGAAGGAAGGGAATTCTTTGGGGAGTCAGGGGCAACAAAGTAGGGTCCATCCCATGCCATATTGACAGCTCTTTCTTGGGGACAGGGCAATGGCACAGGGGAGGCCCGGGATATGTATGTGCCCAACCCCTCTTGCCGAGACTTCGCCAAGTATGAGTGGATCGGACAGCTGATGGGGGCTGCTCTCCGGGGTAAGGAGTTTCTGGTGAGTAGACTAATCTGAACCCCATCAGATCAACCCCGGCCCCTGGAAGAAAGAAGGGCCAGCCAAAGCTGGGAAGCTCACAGTGAGACAGCAGTAGTGAGTATTTGTCGCACAGGTCCTGGCTCTGCCCGGTTTCGTGTGGAAGCAGCTCTCTGGTGAGGAGGTGAGCTGGAGCAAGGACTTTCCAGCTGTGGACTCTGTGCTGGTGAGTGGGGCCTGGAGCCAGTTTCCTCTGCCCAGCCCTGAAGTTGCTACTCCCCACAGGCTGTCCTGAACTTCTCTTACATCATACATGCTCCTTCTCCAATCCCATCCCCTCCCATAGCTTCATTCATTATCTCTATTCACAACTCCTAAATCCTTACCTTCAGCCCAACCTCTTTCCCAAGACTAGAGCCATAGGCACATCAGCTTGCTGGACATCTGCTCCAAGACTGTACCTCAGGCTCAGCCCCCTTCTCAGTCTGCTGTCCTCCAGGGCTCTCTAGCTCAGAAGGCACCACCACCTGCCCCTCCCCATGCCAAGGCCCTCAGGGTCATTCTTTACTCCTCCTCCCTCACCTTCCCCAGCTGTCACATCTCCCTCTGGAATCTGTCCCCTCCTGTCTCACTATTGACCTCCTGGTTCAGGCCATCTTGCACAACCACTGACTGCAAAAGCTGGTCTCCATTCTTACCTGTCTGCTCTCCTATAGCCACAGTAACTCATTTCACTCTTCATTTAAACCGTTCAATGGCTCTGCCCTGGGCTTAGGATAAACTCTGGGCTTAGGGTAACATGCAGAATCTGGAAAGGCCTTATCTCTGGCCACTTGGTTCACTTTCAGGCTCCAGAAAACAGATTCCTTGGGCCTTTTGCTTTTTTCACCTTTTCCTCCTGGCTTCCTTGTGGAACTTCCAGCCAACTCCCAGCCATCACTTGGGTCTCAGCTTAGATGTCATTCTTCCAGGACACCTTCCCTGGCCTCCAAGTCTGGTTAGGCATCATCTTGAAGCTTTCGTAGCCCTTTACTGACCCACTTACTGCACTCATTACATGGGGATTTTGTACCTGGCTGTCTGTCCTGCTTCCCTATGAGCATCTTAAGGAAACACAAGGACTGTCTCCACAATAAAAAACTGACCTCTGTGCCTCTCTGCAACCCCCAGGTGAAGCTCCTGGAAGTGATGGAAGGAATGGACAAGGAGACATTTGAATTCAAATTTGGGAAGGAACTAACATTCACCACTGTACTGAGTGACCAGCAAGTGGTAGAGTTGATCCCTGGGGGAACAGGCATTGTGGTGGGATATGAGGACCGTACCCATTTCATCCAACTGGTGCAGAAGGCACGGCTAGAGGAGAGCAAGGAGCAGGTACTACCCAGTGGCCAATAGAACAGAGAGCATTGCACAGCCTCTAGTAGCCAGAGCCCAGCCTAGTAGGCCCCCAGTACCAACCCCAAGAACTCTGTCCCCCACCATTCCTCTGCCCCACATTCCCTGCTTATCAGTGGAGTTTGGAGATGCTCCCAGTGCTGAACAAAGATAATGTCCCACATTATCTCCGTAAGTGGAGGCTGTATCCTCACCACACACTGAGCTGGGAGTTGTGTCCTCTGACCTAGCAAGACCTTTTCCTTACTCCCCAGCTGGCAGCCATGCAGGCAGGTCTGCTGAAGGTGGTGCCACAGGCTGTGCTGGACTTGCTAACCTGGCAGGAATTGGAGAAGAAGGTGTGCGGGGACCCAGAGGTCACTGTGGACGCTCTGCGCAAGCTCAGTGAGTGTGGGACAGGGCAGGCAGCACAGAGGTGGGTTCAGAACCTAAGGATGAATTCTGGCCCTGTCCCCACCAGCCCGCTTTGAAGACTTTGAGCCATCTGACACACGGGTGCAGTACTTCTGGGAGGCGCTGAACAGCTTCACCAACGGTCAGTGTAAGAAGGCAGTTTGGTGCCTGGGTTCGGACTCCACTTGTGGGATGGAGAGGCAGGGTAGAAGTTATAGAACCTCCCCGACCATTAGTGCGGGCACTGATTTCCTTCTCCAACCAGAGGACCGGAGCCGCTTTCTGCGCTTTGTCACGGGCCGCAGCCGCCTGCCGGCGCGGATCTACATCTACCCAGACAAGCTGGGGTGAGTGCAGAGGGTAGGTCCCAAGAGGCTGTGGCCAAGCTTTGCCCTCCCACATGTGTCAGACCCCTGCCCTGTGCCTGAACAATTCTTCCTGATCTGTGATCCCTCTGCGCTCCCAGCTATGAGACCACAGACGCGCTGCCTGAGTCTTCCACCTGCTCCAGCACCCTCTTCCTACCGCACTATGCCAGGTGGGTTTCCTAGGCTGGAGACTGGGGACCCCGGGAGAGGGTGGCATCTGAGGATGGAGGAAGGAGGACTCCTGGGACTGAAGGTCACAAAATGGAACCACAGAATCCTTGGTAGTGACAGAGGGACCTCTACACCTGGCATGACGAAGTCCCCATCCCCCACCCCTCGCTGCAGCGCCAGGGTGTGTGAGGAGAAGCTCCGCTATGCTGCGTACAACTGCGTAGCCATTGACACCGACATGAGCCCTTGGGAGGAGTGAGGCGGCACCCGGGGGCAGCCTCGGACCGGCTGGGGTTTGCCCTCCTGTCATGAGCTGACATGCTCAGAAAAAGCCAGCGCACACAGTCCTGGTATGTGGTCGGAGTGCTGGCTGTGTGGGTGACCCTGGTGGCCCAGCCCTGCAGACCCACAAGCCCTATGTGTGCTGGGGCTTGCTTCCCAAGTTACTTATCCTCTGTGGAGGGAAGCTTCCACAAGCCCAGCACAAGCTGCCAGGCCTGAGCTACTTGAAGGGGGCCTTCTAGCTCCCCACCCCATGGATTTTGCTTTAGTTTTTGGGAGCTCTTTCATTTTTCTCCATGTTTTTCTCTGGCTTCCATCTGGACTCAAAACTAAAAACTCTGGAGCATGTTAGAGGCCTAGAAGCTCTTTCCCAAACACAGCAGGAGGGATGCATAGGGAATGATGGTCATCCTCCTCGGTTACCTGCCCAAAAATAAAGGAACAACTGAGCACCCCCTCCCTCACACACTGGTGTTTTTTTCCATTCCCTCCATACTCAAGGTGTAAGTTCTGTCCTTCCTCCATCCTAGTCTCAACTGACAAAGTGCCACCACCTTCCCTGGCTCAGAACCTACATCCCCACTCAACATTAAATCTTCACCACCACACCACATTGGTCACTTCTGTATCACCTCCAGCCTGATTCCCCATCTGCTATCTTCACGCTCAAGATTTGCACAGGTTAAGGCCAGTTATATCCTCTGAAATCTTTACCCAGCTCCCCTTTACCCACCTCAAATCAAGCCTAGATTTTAAACTTGCTTCTGGCCTTATGCATGTCCCTGCCACAGCCCTCCTTCCCTTAAGGGACCCATGATGCTCCATCAGAGAAGGTCCTGCACATGGGAAAGTTTAATAAATGGATGAGTTCATTCCTTCGGAATGTGTTTATTGGACTCCTGAGGGATGTTAGAGGAGGCTGTTCCAGAAATTCAGGGTCCTGCGGGGAGCCTAGGAAGTGGGTGTCAAGTAGGAGTGGTGGGGCCTCTCAGGGTCGAACATTAAATCTGGAGTTGAGCAGGAAAATAAGGACCCCCACTATGCAGTGTTGTTTTTTTGTTTTGTTTTGTTTGTTTGTTTTTGAAGGCTGACCTGGTATTTTCTGGGATGGGTGTGGTGATGGGGAGGATGGGGGTCCATCTCCTGGAACCCGGCAGGCAGAAGAATTTGACCTGATAGAGAAAGCCTTGAGATGGCAGGTAAGCCAGCCAGGTCAGGGTTTTGACAGAAGAGGAGGCAGCAGTATTGCTGCCTCCCACCCCCAAAGCCGCCCCTAGTTGCTACGCGGCTAAGGCGTAGTTACTAGGAGCAAGCACCCCATGGGAGAACTCGTGCGGAGCCAGCCCCGGCACAGTGGGCAGCCTCCTCAAGCGCCATGTCCAGTGAAGTAGCCTGCGCGGGTCGCGCTCTGCCAGCGCTCCCCCAGCCTGGTCGCTAGGGTGCACCCTACCGCCAGCCCGTCTGGTAACCACCTTGCCGGCGCCGGCGTGGCGCCCCTCCCACGGACTGGACGCTCTAGCCCGAACTCTCCGGAGTCTTGGTTAACACCCCAGCGGAGGCTCCTGGTAACCCTGGGCTTACGGCTCCCCAAAGCCTGCGCCTTGGTCGATCCACAGGAGGCCCCGTCACCCCCGGCTACTCTGGGCAGCCGCTTAGGGTCCAGAGGCCGCCACTCCCCCCAGCTCCGCTCTTCCAGCAAACCTTGGTGCCGTGTCCCCGCTCCCGCGGGTCCGAGGCGCGCTGTACCTTTTCCTTTTCAGGAAAGGGCTGGGCCGCACGCCTGCAGGAGGTAGTCCGTTTCTGTGTCTGTGGCCACATGAGTCACTGGTCTCTCTTTCATGAAATTGGACTCACTGTATATTTTGTAGTTGCTTTATATTTAGTTCACTCATTCATTCAGTGAAAGCATCAGATTTTTGGGTCAGACACCATACTAGGTGCAGTGTGTAAAATAAATTTTTTTGCCCTCTTGGCATTTAAACGCTAATGGAAGAGATATATTAAGCGAATGAGTTCATAAGCAATATTTAATAACAATTGTGTAAGAGCTCCAGTGGAGAAGAGAAGGGTACTGTTAGAAGACCTAGGTTTCCAACCAATGGGGCTCAAATCAAACGCTAAACCCTCAGGTGGAGTAAGGACACAAAGTTTAGCCGAGAAGCATGTTGAGTCCCATGTCATTAGAGTGTGATGGGAAGAAAGAAGAGAGTATAGCTTTAGAAGCCCTTTTAGGATTTTGCGATGAGCAGCCATGAAGGCTTCAAGCAAGGGGGTGATGTAATTAGATTTTCCTTTGGCAACTGTGTGGATAATAAGGCGAGAGGAGGCAGGGAGTAATTAAGCAGGAAATGATTGTCACTGTACCAAAGGGGATATTCATTTTAACTGTTATTTTTATTGGCTGCATTGTATTACATTATAAGGAATGTTCATAGCTTTCATTCATCTAAAACCCTCTACAAGTGGACATTAAGTTTGTTGACAAATTTCAATATTGAAAAGTACCAGTGTTATAATAAACATCTTCATGCATATATCCTTACATACCTATTTGATCATTTCCTTAAAATAACCCTAAAAATCACTTTATCAAACTGCCAAATTGCCAGTTGTATCCTGCCCAATTGCCAGGATTTATCAAATTTCACTCCCTGTAGTGTCTAGTTCCTAAACTCTCACCAACCTTGGGCATTAATCTTAAAAATATTTTTGACAATTTAATGTGCTGAAAATGGTATGATTGTTATTTTAACTGCATTGCTTTATTTGCTATGTTGAGCAGTTGTGTTTCTTCTTTATGAACTGCCCTTTATATATTTTGTCCAGTTTTCTGTTGGTTTCATTATACTTTTTATTGATGTAACATTCTATGCGTAGTACAAAAATAAAAAGCACAGCAAAGTAGTGTGCTAAGTGCTGTTTATCTATTATCTTGTTTTATCTTCTCAACAATTCTATAAAGTAAGTAAGTACTATTGTTTTGCCCATTCCCAGATGAGAAACCTAGGGGAAAGATGAATTGAGTAACTTGCCCCAAGTCATGTAGGTAATAAGGCATGGAGCTAGGTGGTGGTGGCGGAAGATGGTGGTCTGCCAGCTCCAAAGCCAGTCGACATAGTAACTAAGGTGCTATATCATGTATATTAATTAACCCCTTTGTCTGTTACGCCAGGTGTCGCAAATATGTTTTCCCAGTCTGTACTTTGCCATTTAATTTCATATATGTTCTTTCCTAATATAAGAAATTCTAATTTTTATGAATTAAAAATCTCTATGGAAGAAGCTATATGCTGGATATATATACCATGGGAAGGCAATATAGTATGTATACTAGTTAAGAGCACATTCTCCACAGTCAGCTTGCCTGTATTCATATCCTGGCTTTACCACATACAAGCTGTTGAAATGAACAACAGCTAAGGATTCCCCAGATCCTTAGCCCATTCCTTCAGCTTCCTTTTTTGAAGCACCTATCCACCCTGACCACTCTGTAGTCCCTACTACTGGCTGGTCCCTGGGCTGGTGAAATGTCCTGAGCATTGATCCAGCATGGTGACAGAGATCCACCCATACTTACAGGTGGCCTATGCGCTATGATCAGTGGTGGGAGTGTAAATTCATTGCAGAAGGCATTATTGACCAAGGTGAGACCCTGAGAAAGGGTAACAGGGGTCCTGCTCTATTTGGAGTAGTAGAGATTTCTGGGGTCACCAGCTAACCGAGATAGGGGACCTGCTTATTGCCCCATTATGGGGGCTGGGGCTCTTTGTCATTTCAGGGGGTGGTTTCCGGGATAGCCTGGCGGACATGTCAGAAGAGCTATGCCCTAGCTCAGCAGACACCCCTGTGCCTCTGCCCTTCTTTGTGCGGACAGCCAACCAGGTAATCTCCCATGATGTTTCTGCTGTTTGTCTCTGCAGACCTCCCAGGTACCAGGCTGAGCTAGAGAGGGGAGAGAGGAGGAACCAAGTTGCCCAGGGCAGCCTCTGGACAGATTGAGGAGGAGGAGCCATTGTGTATTTCAAAGGAATTATTCAGAGCCTCCACTAGAAGGAAGGGAATTCTTTGGGGAGTCAGGGGCAACAAAGTAGGGTCCATCCCATGCCATATTGACAGCTCTTTCTTGGGGACAGGGCAATGGCACAGGGGAGGCCCGGGATATGTATGTGCCCAACCCCTCTTGCCGAGACTTCGCCAAGTATGAGTGGATCGGACAGCTGATGGGGGCTGCTCTCCGGGGTAAGGAGTTTCTGGTGAGTAGACTAATCTGAACCCCATCAGATCAACCCCGGCCCCTGGAAGAAAGAAGGGCCAGCCAAAGCTGGGAAGCTCACAGTGAGACAGCAGTAGTGAGTATTTGTCGCACAGGTCCTGGCTCTGCCCGGTTTCGTGTGGAAGCAGCTCTCTGGTGAGGAGGTGAGCTGGAGCAAGGACTTTCCAGCTGTGGACTCTGTGCTGGTGAGTGGGGCCTGGAGCCAGTTTCCTCTGCCCAGCCCTGAAGTTGCTACTCCCCACAGGCTGTCCTGAACTTCTCTTACATCATACATGCTCCTTCTCCAATCCCATCCCCTCCCATAGCTTCATTCATTATCTCTATTCACAACTCCTAAATCCTTACCTTCAGCCCAACCTCTTTCCCAAGACTAGAGCCATAGGCACATCAGCTTGCTGGACATCTGCTCCAAGACTGTACCTCAGGCTCAGCCCCCTTCTCAGTCTGCTGTCCTCCAGGGCTCTCTAGCTCAGAAGGCACCACCACCTGCCCCTCCCCATGCCAAGGCCCTCAGGGTCATTCTTTACTCCTCCTCCCTCACCTTCCCCAGCTGTCACATCTCCCTCTGGAATCTGTCCCCTCCTGTCTCACTATTGACCTCCTGGTTCAGGCCATCTTGCACAACCACTGACTGCAAAAGCTGGTCTCCATTCTTACCTGTCTGCTCTCCTATAGCCACAGTAACTCATTTCACTCTTCATTTAAACCGTTCAATGGCTCTGCCCTGGGCTTAGGATAAACTCTGGGCTTAGGGTAACATGCAGAATCTGGAAAGGCCTTATCTCTGGCCACTTGGTTCACTTTCAGGCTCCAGAAAACAGATTCCTTGGGCCTTTTGCTTTTTTCACCTTTTCCTCCTGGCTTCCTTGTGGAACTTCCAGCCAACTCCCAGCCATCACTTGGGTCTCAGCTTAGATGTCATTCTTCCAGGACACCTTCCCTGGCCTCCAAGTCTGGTTAGGCATCATCTTGAAGCTTTCGTAGCCCTTTACTGACCCACTTACTGCACTCATTACATGGGGATTTTGTACCTGGCTGTCTGTCCTGCTTCCCTATGAGCATCTTAAGGAAACACAAGGACTGTCTCCACAATAAAAAACTGACCTCTGTGCCTCTCTGCAACCCCCAGGTGAAGCTCCTGGAAGTGATGGAAGGAATGGACAAGGAGACATTTGAATTCAAATTTGGGAAGGAACTAACATTCACCACTGTACTGAGTGACCAGCAAGTGGTAGAGTTGATCCCTGGGGGAACAGGCATTGTGGTGGGATATGAGGACCGTACCCATTTCATCCAACTGGTGCAGAAGGCACGGCTAGAGGAGAGCAAGGAGCAGGTACTACCCAGTGGCCAATAGAACAGAGAGCATTGCACAGCCTCTAGTAGCCAGAGCCCAGCCTAGTAGGCCCCCAGTACCAACCCCAAGAACTCTGTCCCCCACCATTCCTCTGCCCCACATTCCCTGCTTATCAGTGGAGTTTGGAGATGCTCCCAGTGCTGAACAAAGATAATGTCCCACATTATCTCCGTAAGTGGAGGCTGTATCCTCACCACACACTGAGCTGGGAGTTGTGTCCTCTGACCTAGCAAGACCTTTTCCTTACTCCCCAGCTGGCAGCCATGCAGGCAGGTCTGCTGAAGGTGGTGCCACAGGCTGTGCTGGACTTGCTAACCTGGCAGGAATTGGAGAAGAAGGTGTGCGGGGACCCAGAGGTCACTGTGGACGCTCTGCGCAAGCTCAGTGAGTGTGGGACAGGGCAGGCAGCACAGAGGTGGGTTCAGAACCTAAGGATGAATTCTGGCCCTGTCCCCACCAGCCCGCTTTGAAGACTTTGAGCCATCTGACACACGGGTGCAGTACTTCTGGGAGGCGCTGAACAGCTTCACCAACGGTCAGTGTAAGAAGGCAGTTTGGTGCCTGGGTTCGGACTCCACTTGTGGGATGGAGAGGCAGGGTAGAAGTTATAGAACCTCCCCGACCATTAGTGCGGGCACTGATTTCCTTCTCCAACCAGAGGACCGGAGCCGCTTTCTGCGCTTTGTCACGGGCCGCAGCCGCCTGCCGGCGCGGATCTACATCTACCCAGACAAGCTGGGGTGAGTGCAGAGGGTAGGTCCCAAGAGGCTGTGGCCAAGCTTTGCCCTCCCACATGTGTCAGACCCCTGCCCTGTGCCTGAACAATTCTTCCTGATCTGTGATCCCTCTGCGCTCCCAGCTATGAGACCACAGACGCGCTGCCTGAGTCTTCCACCTGCTCCAGCACCCTCTTCCTACCGCACTATGCCAGGTGGGTTTCCTAGGCTGGAGACTGGGGACCCCGGGAGAGGGTGGCATCTGAGGATGGAGGAAGGAGGACTCCTGGGACTGAAGGTCACAAAATGGAACCACAGAATCCTTGGTAGTGACAGAGGGACCTCTACACCTGGCATGACGAAGTCCCCATCCCCCACCCCTCGCTGCAGCGCCAGGGTGTGTGAGGAGAAGCTCCGCTATGCTGCGTACAACTGCGTAGCCATTGACACCGACATGAGCCCTTGGGAGGAGTGAGGCGGCACCCGGGGGCAGCCTCGGACCGGCTGGGGTTTGCCCTCCTGTCATGAGCTGACATGCTCAGAAAAAGCCAGCGCACACAGTCCTGGTATGTGGTCGGAGTGCTGGCTGTGTGGGTGACCCTGGTGGCCCAGCCCTGCAGACCCACAAGCCCTATGTGTGCTGGGGCTTGCTTCCCAAGTTACTTATCCTCTGTGGAGGGAAGCTTCCACAAGCCCAGCACAAGCTGCCAGGCCTGAGCTACTTGAAGGGGGCCTTCTAGCTCCCCACCCCATGGATTTTGCTTTAGTTTTTGGGAGCTCTTTCATTTTTCTCCATGTTTTTCTCTGGCTTCCATCTGGACTCAAAACTAAAAACTCTGGAGCATGTTAGAGGCCTAGAAGCTCTTTCCCAAACACAGCAGGAGGGATGCATAGGGAATGATGGTCATCCTCCTCGGTTACCTGCCCAAAAATAAAGGAACAACTGAGCACCCCCTCCCTCACACACTGGTGTTTTTTTCCATTCCCTCCATACTCAAGGTGTAAGTTCTGTCCTTCCTCCATCCTAGTCTCAACTGACAAAGTGCCACCACCTTCCCTGGCTCAGAACCTACATCCCCACTCAACATTAAATCTTCACCACCACACCACATTGGTCACTTCTGTATCACCTCCAGCCTGATTCCCCATCTGCTATCTTCACGCTCAAGATTTGCACAGGTTAAGGCCAGTTATATCCTCTGAAATCTTTACCCAGCTCCCCTTTACCCACCTCAAATCAAGCCTAGATTTTAAACTTGCTTCTGGCCTTATGCATGTCCCTGCCACAGCCCTCCTTCCCTTAAGGGACCCATGATGCTCCATCAGAGAAGGTCCTGCACATGGGAAAGTTTAATAAATGGATGAGTTCATTCCTTCGGAATGTGTTTATTGGACTCCTGAGGGATGTTAGAGGAGGCTGTTCCAGAAATTCAGGGTCCTGCGGGGAGCCTAGGAAGTGGGTGTCAAGTAGGAGTGGTGGGGCCTCTCAGGGTCGAACATTAAATCTGGAGTTGAGCAGGAAAATAAGGACCCCCACTATGCAGTGTTGTTTTTTTGTTTTGTTTTGTTTGTTTGTTTTTGAAGGCTGACCTGGTATTTTCTGGGATGGGTGTGGTGATGGGGAGGATGGGGGTCCATCTCCTGGAACCCGGCAGGCAGAAGAATTTGACCTGATAGAGAAAGCCTTGAGATGGCAGGTAAGCCAGCCAGGTCAGGGTTTTGACAGAAGAGGAGGCAGCAGTATTGCTGCCTCCCACCCCCAAAGCCGCCCCTAGTTGCTACGCGGCTAAGGCGTAGTTACTAGGAGCAAGCACCCCATGGGAGAACTCGTGCGGAGCCAGCCCCGGCACAGTGGGCAGCCTCCTCAAGCGCCATGTCCAGTGAAGTAGCCTGCGCGGGTCGCGCTCTGCCAGCGCTCCCCCAGCCTGGTCGCTAGGGTGCACCCTACCGCCAGCCCGTCTGGTAACCACCTTGCCGGCGCCGGCGTGGCGCCCCTCCCACGGACTGGACGCTCTAGCCCGAACTCTCCGGAGTCTTGGTTAACACCCCAGCGGAGGCTCCTGGTAACCCTGGGCTTACGGCTCCCCAAAGCCTGCGCCTTGGTCGATCCACAGGAGGCCCCGTCACCCCCGGCTACTCTGGGCAGCCGCTTAGGGTCCAGAGGCCGCCACTCCCCCCAGCTCCGCTCTTCCAGCAAACCTTGGTGCCGTGTCCCCGCTCCCGCGGGTCCGAGGCGCGCTGTACCTTTTCCTTTTCAGGAAAGGGCTGGGCCGCACGCCTGCAGGAGGTAGTCCGTTTCTGTGTCTGTGGCCACATGAGTCACTGGTCTCTCTTTCATGAAATTGGACTCACTGTATATTTTGTAGTTGCTTTATATTTAGTTCACTCATTCATTCAGTGAAAGCATCAGATTTTTGGGTCAGACACCATACTAGGTGCAGTGTGTAAAATAAATTTTTTTGCCCTCTTGGCATTTAAACGCTAATGGAAGAGATATATTAAGCGAATGAGTTCATAAGCAATATTTAATAACAATTGTGTAAGAGCTCCAGTGGAGAAGAGAAGGGTACTGTTAGAAGACCTAGGTTTCCAACCAATGGGGCTCAAATCAAACGCTAAACCCTCAGGTGGAGTAAGGACACAAAGTTTAGCCGAGAAGCATGTTGAGTCCCATGTCATTAGAGTGTGATGGGAAGAAAGAAGAGAGTATAGCTTTAGAAGCCCTTTTAGGATTTTGCGATGAGCAGCCATGAAGGCTTCAAGCAAGGGGGTGATGTAATTAGATTTTCCTTTGGCAACTGTGTGGATAATAAGGCGAGAGGAGGCAGGGAGTAATTAAGCAGGAAATGATTGTCACTGTACCAAAGGGGATATTCATTTTAACTGTTATTTTTATTGGCTGCATTGTATTACATTATAAGGAATGTTCATAGCTTTCATTCATCTAAAACCCTCTACAAGTGGACATTAAGTTTGTTGACAAATTTCAATATTGAAAAGTACCAGTGTTATAATAAACATCTTCATGCATATATCCTTACATACCTATTTGATCATTTCCTTAAAATAACCCTAAAAATCACTTTATCAAACTGCCAAATTGCCAGTTGTATCCTGCCCAATTGCCAGGATTTATCAAATTTCACTCCCTGTAGTGTCTAGTTCCTAAACTCTCACCAACCTTGGGCATTAATCTTAAAAATATTTTTGACAATTTAATGTGCTGAAAATGGTATGATTGTTATTTTAACTGCATTGCTTTATTTGCTATGTTGAGCAGTTGTGTTTCTTCTTTATGAACTGCCCTTTATATATTTTGTCCAGTTTTCTGTTGGTTTCATTATACTTTTTATTGATGTAACATTCTATGCGTAGTACAAAAATAAAAAGCACAGCAAAGTAGTGTGCTAAGTGCTGTTTATCTATTATCTTGTTTTATCTTCTCAACAATTCTATAAAGTAAGTAAGTACTATTGTTTTGCCCATTCCCAGATGAGAAACCTAGGGGAAAGATGAATTGAGTAACTTGCCCCAAGTCATGTAGGTAATAAGGCATGGAGCTAGGTGGTGGTGGCGGAAGATGGTGGTCTGCCAGCTCCAAAGCCAGTCGACATAGTAACTAAGGTGCTATATCATGTATATTAATTAACCCCTTTGTCTGTTACGCCAGGTGTCGCAAATATGTTTTCCCAGTCTGTACTTTGCCATTTAATTTCATATATGTTCTTTCCTAATATAAGAAATTCTAATTTTTATGAATTAAAAATCTCTATGGAAGAAGCTATATGCTGGATATATATACCATGGGAAGGCAATATAGTATACTAGTTAAGAGCACATTCTCCACAGTCAGCTTGCCTGTATTCATATCCTGGCTTTACCACATACAAGCTGTTGAAATGAACAACAGCTAAGGATTCCCCAGATCCTTAGCCCATTCCTTCAGCTTCCTTTTTTGAAGCACCTATCCTTTACCATTGATTTGAAATGCTACCTTTTCACATATTTATCAATTTATGCTAAATTTTTGTATACAAGAAACCCTTATTTTGCAAGGTAGTCCCAGACTGTAAAATTGACACTGTGAGTTGAAACTGAGCAAAAACATCTTAATAACCAATGGGAGAAATTACCAATGTTCTGTTACTTTACAATTTCTTGTCAAAACATTAAAACTCTCTTAATGTCAATTATAAATGTATCAGGAAGTAAAAAAATAGTAAAACTAATATATTTTGCAAATTATAATCTAAAGCATTTAGAAAAGTTCAGAATTAAAAAGTTTTCTTTGTAAAAACCTTATCAGGAATAGTTTGAACAGTGCTTGCCTCTTTTTTCTTATCTTATAATATGCTTTGATGAATTGTCATACTCCTTTTGAAGTTTGGACCAGCTTACTTTCAACCTCATAAAATATCTGTGAGAATTCCTTTAATGTGGATTTTTTTGCTAGCATCACTTCCTCTGGGACACCTTTATCCTTTTTGTCACAACTGCTTTCCTTATTTATGCAGATAAGGTTGCCTTCACTAGGTTCCTTTGGCTGCATATCTGTATGGCAGCATCAGCATTCCCAAGACCAGCTACAGCTCCATTTATGTTCAATTTGAATTTCACTTCCAGCATTGTCACTTTTCATTTATTTGCTGCACTTTCATTTTTGTTGGCCAGTTCTCAATTATCCATTTTTTAAAACTGCTGCATGGATTTAGCCCTGAAAGACAAAGCAGCAACACAGCTACATTCTATGCCATCTGTGTATGATCTAAGACTGACTTCTCACAGTGACTTCTCACCAACAGACTGAAAAAGTGACATGATTGTTTACTGCTCATGATGCACATTCAAAAAAGTTGATTCTGACCATTTTTGACAGTACTTTCATTGCTTTTATAGAATAAAGAATTTTTGGAGGATATTACTCCACCATTTTTACTAATATCACTGTTCCTTTAATATTTGCTTCTAAATTTATTAGCTAGAAGCTTGTGAGACACAAGTCCCAAATTTCTATAACCTCTATAAAACAGTAAGACTTTATAAATGCAGTATTCCCCCCTCCTTTGTCCCTCTTCCCTGCCTATTTCTAATTCTCAAAGTACTTACCACCTTTAAATATACTGTACAATTTTCTCATTTATTATTTAAACGTCTTTATAATGTATGCTGCCTCTCCTTGCTAGGATGGAGACTGGATCCTTCTTTGTTAACTAATATGCCCTAAAAGGCTAAAATTGTACTTGGCACATAGTAGTCATTTAATAAATAGTTGTTCAATAAATTAATAACCTGTGGCCTATAACCATACTTTCCAATTTAAAAACAAGGAAAACCACTATTTACAATAGCCAAGATATGGAAGCAACCTAAGTGTCCATCAGTAGATGAATGGATAAAGATGTGGTACATATACACAATGGAATATTATTCAGCTATAAGAAGAAAACAAATCCTACCATTTGCAACAACATGGATGGAGCTAGAGGGTATTGTCCTCAGTGAAATAAGCCAGGCAGAGAAAGACAAATACCAAATGATTTCACTCATCTGTGGAGTATAAGAACAAAGCAAAAACTGAAGGAAAAAAACAGCAGCAGACTCACAGAACCCAAGAATGGACTAACAGTTACCAAAGGGAAAGGGACTGGAGAGGGTGGGTAGGAATAAGGGGCATTATGATTAACACACATAACAAGGGGGAGGGGCACAGGGAAGGCAGTATAGCACAGAGAAGACAAGTAATGACTATAGCATCTTACTACACTGATGGACAGTGACTGTAATGGGGTATGTGGTGGGAACTTGATAATGGGGGGAATCCAGTAACCACAATGTTGCCATGTGACTTTATATGAATGATACTAAAATTTTAAAAACTTAAAGAATAAAAATCAATGACACAAAATACAGGAAACGAGAGAAAAATCAGTGAAACCAAAAACTGATTCTATGTAAAAAATAAAATAAAAACAAGGAAAACCAGCCATCTGAAAAGTTTTGTTTGCAATAACGGAGAGGGGGAAAAAATCACCAAACTGAATAAATCATTTATTTTAAAAATTGACCCATCAGTTTAGGGCATAAATGCCCAGCTTCTGACCTTTAAAACCACCAATTCTGTGTGCTTGAAAGGGATACTGAAGTCCTAATTAATGAAGTTTCTTTACAAGCTCTTTACAGAAACACTGTAGCAAAATTTGCTCTCTAATTTATTATGAATCTATTAGGCAACTGCTAGGCTTTCATACAAAAACAAAACAAAACAAAAAAACCACACAAATATTTGAGGACCTGCAATGATTGCCAAAGTATTTTTCCTTTTCATTTTTATCTTTCCCTCAGCTCTCTAAAAATAATAATTCCCTGCCCCACTGACTACTCTACAGCCAAATGGAGTAGATGAAAATTGTAACGTGGCCAGCAAATTCCCACAGAGAGATAGATCTCTTGTAGACCGTGGGAAGAGTGTTTTTGAACCAAGGCCCAACTTTTAAAAGGTTTCTTTTGTCTCCCACAATTGAAAGAGACCTTCAGAGCTTGACCTTCTTAAACTATTCCCACACCACATACAAACACATACACACAAATGTCTCTTGGGGAAGAAATGTGAACAGGAAACAAACATAAGAAACAGCCTGTGTTCAATGAGCACTTATTAAATACTTTCCATGTAATTCATAAATAAAAATAAATAATAAGCATGGGGCTAGGCATGAGAGATAATAATATGGATTGACAATGAAAAGGAACATTCAGGAAAAAAGATGTCAGTGACCCAGTCCTTCAGCTCAGTTTTCCCACCACGAAATGGGAGGTCAAGGGAAATTTTAATTCATTCAATATTACTTACTTAGCATGTCCCAGGTCCTGTGCTAGGATATAGCCTTTGTGCCCAAAGGGCTCCCAGTGTGATACATAAGGCATAAAAAGGGGGATGACGATCCTTTATAGTGAATGCCATAATACAAGTACTGGAAGCAGTGGTAGGCAGAAAGAAGGAATACATAAGGCAGCAGTTCCTAAAGTATGCACCCTAAACCTCTGGGAGTTCTCAAGACCTGTTCAAGGGATCTGTCAGTTCTAAACTGTTTTCATAATAATAGTAAAACATTATCTGCCTTTTTCATTGTATAGATACTTGCACTGATGGTGCAAAGGCAACGATGGATAAAACTGGTGCCTTAGCATGAATCAAAGCAGTGATACCAAAGTAAGTTTTACTTAAGAATGCTCTTGATGGAGCAATAAAATGATTTTATTAAATCTCGGTCCTTGAGTACACATCTTTTTAATAGTCTATGTGATGAAATGAGAAGTGCACATGTAACACTTCTGTGCAGACTAAAGTTGTCTCCAGGAAAAGCACTGAGTGATTATTTGATTTGTGAACTACTGCTTTTCCATTCATAGAACACTATTTTTACTTGAAAGAACAACTGACAAACCATGGCCAACAATTTATCAAAATAAAGTAAGCCAGTCACTTCAAGGAAAACCACTAACAGTGTTTGTTGCCAGTGATAATATTTGAGCTTTCAGGAGAAAATCAGAAGTTTGAAAAACGTATCTGTCATCATAAGCTTGCCAACTTTCCAATATTTAAGAACTTTTCTGATGAGATTGGTGGTGATATTAACAAATGTGATTTTTTAAAATTGTATAATGAGTCAACATGGGAAGGATCTATATCACTCAGTGAATCAATATATTACAAATGATCAATGCATCAAGTTGTAAAATCATGCATGGGTAAAATGACCAAAGTACAAATATTTTAACAGACTACAAAATGTTCATTGACTTAATGATTCTCCATTGCAACTAACCTTTAACAAACTCCCACTTTCTGGGTTTTGGTGTAGTATCAAAGACTAAAACCTATAGTTTCCTGACAAGGCTATTAAAATTTATCTTCCTTTTCCAGCTATGTATCTGTGTGCGGTCAGGTTTTCCTCACATAATTCACTCAAAACAATATATCACAACTGATGGGAGAATCCAGCTGTTTTCCATTAAGCCAGAAGTTAAAAGAGTTCTGCAAGAGGTGAAACCATATAATGATTTTATTTTTTTAATGAATTAATGTTTTTTAACTTCTCAGTTTGAATTTTTAACATGGTAAATATCAATAGATATAATCCATGTAAACAAAAGTTCTTCAGGGTCCCTGATAACTTTTAAGAGTATAAAGGGTCCAGAGACCAAAAAAGGTTGAGAACTACTGCCCTAAGAGAATAATTTAAGTGGGTTTGAATTTAAGCAACCCCTCAACTACTTTCCTCAACTAGAGGAGAAAGTTTCTTGTCCCTGAAAACATTTGCTAGTTTAAACATGAGCATGTGAAATGGATGACAGATATGGGGTCTTTTGAATTCTGTTTCTACTTCATAACTAGTTCTTACCTCAAAACCATGTTGTAATTCCCAAGGTTTCTGTTTGCTTGAGCTAATCCCAAGGAAAGAGAGAAACTTGCTGCAGAAGGAAAGGGTAGTCAAGTTTCAGGCCTCCTGTGGCCAAATTAATCACATACTCATCACCAGCATCTTCAAGTAAAGGGGAGGTGGGGCAGAGATAGGCTGGTTTTATGGATATGGCCTCAGGTCTTTTTTTTTTTTTTTTTTTTTTAAGTAGGAACTTACTTGAGTTTCTATTCTTCTGGCTGAAAGTCTGGGGAAAATTACAAGTCCTGTCTTTCTCACTGACTGCTGTATCCTCAGCATCTAGCGTCTGAGACACTACTTGGTACACACTGGGTACTCAAAAAATATTAATGAAATCAACCCCTTATTTTTATTGCAGACTCTGCCTCTTAACTGGCAGGGAGCTAAAGCAACTCAAGGTTTAAGAGATAAATAGAAAAAGAAACTTCCAAGAGATTAGGAAGTTGCAGGAATGTGTGGGAAAGAGAAAATGACAATTGCTGATGTTACTGACTGAAGCTTAACAAATCACCCCAAAGTTTACTGCTTAAAACCATTATTGTATTATCTCTAACAATTGTTACAATTCTCTAAACTCAGGCGTTTAGGGTCTCTCATGCAGCTGCAGCCTCTTAACTGGTTTCTTTACTTCCACTATTAACAGTGACCAGAGTAATCCTTTAAAAACCTGTCATACTATGCCCCTTT